CCCCCAGTGCCCACCCCAGCGTCCCCAGTGCCCACCCCAGCCCCCCCAGTGGCCCCCAGTGCCCACCCCATCACCCCCAGTGCCCACCCCAGCGCCCCCAGTGTCCCCCAGTGCCCACTCCAGCACCCCCAGTGCCCACCCCATCACCCCCAGTATCCCCCAGTGCCCACCCCAGCACCCTCAGTGCCACTCCCATGCCAGTCCCAGCTCTCCCAGTCTGCCCAGTGCCTGCCCCAGTCTCTTACCCTGCTCCTGTGCCGTTGCAGCCTCGGAAGCCTCTCTGCTGGCCCACAGCATGGTCCTGCTGTCCCTCAACTCCAGCCGGCCCCCGGAGTGACAGCCCCGGCCCCCGAGCCCTGACGGATGGAGGGGTGGCAGCTGCGTGTCCCTCACCTCAGCCTTGTGATTCCCAGCCCAAAACTCAGCTCTGGCTGAGCTGTGCTGGGCGTTCCCTTCCCTTGGAGCCCTCGGAGTGGCGGCTGTGAGGCCGAGCACAGCCAGGAGAGGTTGTTCCAGTAATTAACTGCATCTCGTTCTGGGGGAGAGCCGCTCCCTGCCCTGGGGATGTTCCTGCGGGATCTGCTCCATGCTTCCCATGGCATTGGGTGGCTGGGACTCCTTGCTGGAGGGTTTTCCTCTGTTTCTTTTCTCTACTGCACCGTCTTAAATGTCACACCCCGCCCTGAGGGGTTGAGGTGAACCCTCGAATTCCCCCCTGGAGCCTCCCAGATCCCTGTGGGCCCTTCCTGAGAGCTCTGTGGGGCGCTGGCTTTGGCTGCAGCAGGTGGTTCGGGGAGGGGGTCGGGGCTGGGGATGGTGGGAAGGGCCGAGTGGGGGTCCCAGGACTGCACCCCCCAAATTCAGCCTCGTTGAAGCCCCTTAAACCTTCACTTCCCACTCCAGGGACTTGGAGGGTTAAACCCCAACCCTGCCCTGCACGGGGAATTCCTGCTGGCAAGGTGAATTCACCCCAAACTTGGGAGCTTTATGGAAGCCCCAAGGAATTGGTGGCTGCAGTGTCTTGGGGGGGCCCTCGGTGGCTCTGTGCCCCCTCGAGGGGTCACGGGGCACGGGGACACCTGCAGAGTTTCCCTTCTGAAGCGTATTTGGGGTATGAAGGGGTAGGAACCGTCCCCCTTCCTCACCACTTCCTGCTGGTTTTTGTGAATTTCAGAGCCCCCCTTGAGGAATTCACCACTGGGGGGTATTTAACCCATTTTCAGCCACAGCTCACGTCTAATTTACCCATTTGTTCTCTTTCTCCACTTAAATATTCCACTTAAAAAGAGCATTATTCAGGAAGAAGGGTGGGCACAGCTGGATAAAAAAGCTAATATTGAGGAGAAGCTTTGGATTCACGAAGTTAGGGAAAGTAAAAATGAAAAATCCAGTGGGAGCTTGGAGGAATTGAAGGAGACATCTGGATTTTGGGAGGCAGGGGGACTCAAGCACCAGGATCAGCCAGGATCTGGTGTTTGTGTGGATTAAATCCAATAAAAATTATATTAAAATGCAAAGATACCCTTGGGTTGCAGCAGTAACATTGAAATATGGGTGAAAATAGAATAAATTCTGGTAGTTTTTGTCTTTTGGGGAAGCACCATGAGGCTCCACCTGGGGTCAGAGCTGGAGTCACCCCCTCCAGGACACGGGGAGAGGGGAGCAGGGGATCTGTGGGGTGAAAAATACAGGAACAGAGGGACCACCGTGTCACCCTCAATCCTGTGTCACCCTCAATCCCGTGTCACCCCCTCAATCCTGTGTCACCCTCAATCCTGTGTCACCCCCTCAATCCTGTGTCACCCTCAATCCTGTGTCACCCCTCAATCCTGTGTCACCCCCAGCCCTTTGTCACCCTCAATCCTGTGTCACCCCTCAATCCTGTGTCAGCCCCTCAATCCCGTGTCACCCCCTCAATCCTATGTCACCCTCAATCCTGTGTCACCCCCAGCCCTTTGTCACCCTCAATCCTGTGTCCCCCTCAATCCTGTGTCAGCCCCTCAATCCCGTGTCACCCCCTCAATCCTGTGTCCCCCTCAATCCTGTGTCAGCCCCTCAATCCCGTGTCACCCCCTCAATCCTGTGTCCCCCTCAATCCTGTGTCAGCCCCTCAATCCCGTGTCACCCCCTCAATCCTGTGTCCCCCTCAATCCTGTGTCAGCCCCTCAATCCCGTGTCACCCCCTCAATCCTGTGTCCCCCTCAATCCTGTGTCAGCCCCTCAATCCCGTGTCACCCCCTCAATCCTGTGTCCCCCTCAATCCTGTGTCAGCCCCTCAATCCCGTGTCACCCCCTCAATCCTGTGTCCCCCTCAATCCTGTGTCAGCCCCTCAATCCCGTGTCACCCCCTCAATCCTGTGTCCCCCTCAATCCTGTGTCAGCCCCTCAATCCCGTGTCACCCCCTCAATCCTGTGTCCCCCTCAATCCTGTGTCAGCCCCTCAATCCCGTGTCACCCCCTCAATCCTGTGTCCCCCTCAATCCTGTGTCAGCCCCTCAATCCCGTGTCACCCCCTCAATCCTGTGTCCCCCTCAATCCTGTGTCAGCCCCTCAATCCCGTGTCACCCCCTCAATCCTGTGTCCCCCTCAATCCTGTGTCAGCCCCTCAATCCCGTGTCACCCCCTCAATCCTGTGTCCCCCTCAATCCTGTGTCAGCCCCTCAATCCCGTGTCACCCCCTCAATCCTGTGTCCCCCTCAATCCTGTGTCAGCCCCTCAATCCCGTGTCACCCCCTCAATCCTGTGTCCCCCTCAATCCTGTGTCAGCCCCTCAATCCCGTGTCACCCCCTCAATCCTGTGTCCCCCTCAATCCTGTGTCAGCCCCTCAATCCCGTGTCACCCCCTCAATCCTGTGTCCCCCTCAATCCTGTGTCAGCCCCTCAATCCCGTGTCACCCCCTCAATCCTGTGTCCCCCTCAATCCTGTGTCAGCCCCTCAATCCCGTGTCACCCCCTCAATCCTGTGTCCCCCTCAATCCTGTGTCAGCCCCTCAATCCCGTGTCACCCCCTCAATCCTGTGTCCCCCTCAATCCTGTGTCAGCCCCTCAATCCCGTGTCACCCCCTCAATCCTGTGTCCCCCTCAATCCTGTGTCAGCCCCTCAATCCCGTGTCACCCCCTCAATCCTGTGTCCCCCTCAATCCTGTGTCAGCCCCTCAATCCCGTGTCACCCCCTCAATCCTGTGTCCCCCTCAATCCTGTGTCAGCCCCTCAATCCCGTGTCACCCCCTCAATCCTGTGTCCCCCTCAATCCTGTGTCAGCCCCTCAATCCCGTGTCACCCCCTCAATCCTGTGTCCCCCTCAATCCTGTGTCAGCCCCTCAATCCCGTGTCACCCCCTCAATCCTGTGTCCCCCTCAATCCTGTGTCAGCCCCTCAATCCCGTGTCACCCCCTCAATCCTGTGTCCCCCTCAATCCTGTGTCAGCCCCTCAATCCCGTGTCACCCCCTCAATCCTGTGTCCCCCTCAATCCTGTGTCAGCCCCTCAATCCCGTGTCACCCCCTCAATCCTGTGTCCCCCTCAATCCTGTGTCAGCCCCTCAATCCCGTGTCACCCCCTCAATCCTGTGTCCCCCTCAATCCTGTGTCAGCCCCTCAATCCCGTGTCACCCCCTCAATCCTGTGTCCCCCTCAATCCTGTGTGTCACCCCCCCAGTCCTGTGTCACCCCTCAGCCCTCTGTCACCCTTCAATCCTGTGTCACCCCCTCAATCCCGTGTCACCCCCCCAGTCCTGTCTCACCCCC